TAAAAATGCTTCCTCTAACCTATAAACTTCATTGTTTCTATCACTTACAGATTTTGAGCAAAGTAGAAAGAAAAAAATGATATGTAAAAATTGAAACTCTCAAAACTTTCAGATGAGTTATAGGTGCCCTGGTCTGTTTCTATAATGTTCTTTCTATAACCCTGATGACTTTAAGGTTAACACCATAAGACTTTCACCACATGTAATAATTACTAGAAGGCCATTATGATTAGGTTTTGCCAGACCTCACTAAATCATTCTGTCTTATCACTAGCAGGTTTAAATAGCATTACTTAGAGAGCTTCCATGAGTGGGATTGCATGGCTTAGAAACTGGAAAAAAATTAGGTCTATTAATGGACCTACTAGAAGAAATACCACTGTGAATTGGCCATAGAAATAAGGTGGAAAGTTCATCTTAGTGTAAGCAGATGTGAAAATAATTTTGATACACCTACTCAATTTAATCAGTATTTACTCAGTTCATTGTGATTTAATGGGTATTAGTGATTGTATCAGTGAGTTAAGTAGAATAGCATTAAGTTTGATTTAGTTAATGAGGTAAGAATAAGAAGTCATGCAGGTTACAATTACTTAACTCACCCACCATGTAGTGATGAAAATATTCTATTTGATTTTTAGGATAGATTTTATGTTAAGGACTTATAATAGGAAATTGATGTATTAGCACTAACATTCCCCCCCCCCCCATAAATGGACTGTGCTTGAAAAAACAGTTTCCTTGTGCTCTTGTCATAAATATTCTTATAACCAAGCCCCAAAATACTGCTGACAGAGTACTAATAGTTAATGGATATGTCCCTTAGCCAACCAGAGGAGTATTTCTGCTCCTGAAGATTACCAGTAATGAGTCTCATTCTATTTTTAGTGCCCTCCAGAGGTCCGTAAAAGTGGGTGATTTCTGAGCAGAGGGATCCTTGACTTCAAGGAAGGTCTTGGATCCAATTGCTTAGGGACCACTGGTCTCCCTAATGTGTTGATGTAGCTCAGTTTCCTTTTGTTGTGGATTGGATTTTTGTGGTTTACATTTTGGCAATGCCAGTCAGGAGATTGAAATGTGGATCCCGATCCTCTTTGGCTGCCCTCCCAAGGGACCAAAAAAGCAGCAGGCCTCGTGATTATTTTCCCTGCTGGCTCCTTCGAGGAAGACAGCCCTGGGAAGTTGGACTCCCTTCAACCTTCCTGCCCAAATTCTCTGAGCTACAGGTGAGCCTCTCCAAACTTGCAGTTGCTGAGTCTACCTTTATTTCTAAATTAATGGTCTGTTTATTTTAAATTTTTTTTAAGGCAATTGGGGTTAAGTGACTTGCCCAGGGTCACAGCTAATAAGTATCAAGTGTTTGGTCTGAGGCTGGATTTGAACTCATGCCCTCCTGACTTCAGGGCTGGTGCTCTATCCACTGCACCACCTAGCTGCCCCTGTGTATTTTCGTTTTGAAAGTGATCCCTAATTGGGCTTGAAAAAGGAACTGCCAATCATTTCCAAATTAAATTAGGTGTTTCTATGTTGCATACTTTTTAAGTTAAGAAAGTTTAGTTAAGAAAGACTCCAGAGCAGTCAGGTGAATTTTAAATTTAGGGAAAATTAAAAACTAATTTTAAAAACTTTGAAATTTAAAGTACACACCAAATTTTTCAGTACAAATTGAATTTTTTTCTCTAGGCTGATCTTACAATGCCAATGTTACATCCCCTTTCCACTAGCTGAAGTGTTTTCTGGATGATCTCAAGGTCTGGGAAGCTAGCCAGTTTTTGGTAGAACTTCCTCTTTTTTGTTTTCTTTTTACTTTTTCTTTAGAATTTTTGAGCATAAAATAGGGTTTTGAGTGTAAAATTGATTTAAAATTTTTTCCCATTATTGATTGTCTAAGCCTGTTTTTCATTTTAGAACCAGTCTCTGAGCCTCTCTGTATAAAAGCACTATACTATAGCTCTTAACTATAAACTGGGCACCAGGACTTAACCTGTTGATCACCTGAAAAGGAGCTAATGAGGGACCACTGTAGCCCTCCAGGAGCCTCCCTACTTATGAACTGATGTACCCAGGTGCTAAAGTTGGTGGCAGCTGCCTTGAGGTTGTTATGAGTGGACAGCAGTGATTGCAACCTCAAGAGTAAGGACTACCAGCTGGAACACTTTGAGCTTTTAGGAGGGAGTACCTGTTAGGGCTATTTATGGGTTTCTTCTAGATAGGGATGGGGAATCTTTGGCCTTGAGGCCACATGTGGCCCTCTAGGTCCTCAGATTCGACCCTTTGACTGAATCCAAACTTTACAGAACAGATCCTGTTAATAAAAGGATTTGTTCTGTAAAACTTGAGCTCAGTCAAAAGGCTGCACCTGAGGACCTAGAAGCCAACTGGGAAAGGTACTGGTACAAACAGGATCACTCCTTTTAGATAAAGAAGGAGAGCTATCTTTTCCACAATTAAGAGAGTCTGTCTTAGAAGTGGAGCAGCATCTCCTCTGCCTAGAAAGTAGCTTGAGGACCCCAGGGAGATGCTATAGGTAGGATTGAAAACCAGCAAAAAAGGTCCTAAGGATGAACCACCAAACTGAACATTAGACTTATTGACTGAGAAGAATTGGAGAATCACATCAAAATCAAATCCCTGGATAATTAAGTATTTTTACCTTAGGGGCAGAACAGAAAATAACTTGATTGGAAAGGATCTACATTGGAGATTCCTTTAGAAATGTCGTCATTGGAACATCTCAGAGGCAAACTGGGGCTTTGGGAATTTCTAGCAAGAGCGTTCTTAGTGAAATTCTTTCAAGAGAGTTCCAGGGAGGAATACTCTTCTCTGGCAACACCCAGGAGGAGATATGGGGTCAAGCTTGAGCATTCTTATAGGATCCCCCTTGGGATCTTGCATCATGTGATAAGGTTTAACTCCCCATCTAACTGATGATGACAAAGAAGGGAGCTATTAGGCAATACAAAGGCATGGAGCAAAAATGCTAAGGATTTACATGATTTGTTTTGGCCAATATTTGGAACTTTTGATTATACTTAGAAAGTTAAGGTTTTTTCTTGAACATCTCCTAAATCTCATAGACCAAATGAATTACTGGTATTGCTAGGAAACTCTGAGTCCAAACCCCTTATTTTCCAACTGGTCCCCCATTCTTTATCCTACCTTACCTGATCCTCCTCCTTATGTACTTCTGTCTTTCTCTCCTCCTTCCACAACAACTACAAACAGAAAACAGCCTACTTATGGGAAAGGTTTATTAGGCCAGAGGGCGACCCCTAGCCCCTGTTAGAGAACATAACCCTTTCAGCCCTTCTGATCTCTCCATTTGGACAAAAGATACCCCTAAATTTGGTGAAGATCCTGCAGCTGTTATTATCCAATTTCAGGCCGTATTTAGGGGTTATAACCCAACCTGGGAAAATGTAACTGACTTAATGGAAACCTTGTTCTCCCCAAGAGAAAGAATTGCCATAATAGAAACTGCTAATAAAGTTTCAAGAGGAAATGCCCCAGCAGGACCAGGAGGTCTTCCTAACTAGCTTTTTAACAAGACCCAAATTGGGACCCTAATAATCCTGCACACTATACCCTGCTGGTTCAAGCCAGAGATTCTTTAATTCAGATCATGGAACTCTGTGTTTTGCATCCAGACAACTGGAGTAAGTTTTAGGAGCCCACCCAAGAAGAAAATGAGACCCTCAAGTGTTTCTCTGACAGGTTATGCAAAGAGTGCTAAGCACTTCACTGGGTTAGATCCTCTTAACTGTCTGGATGCCAGGATTGTTAATGCCACCTTTGTTGACCAGTCTCTGTCAGAGATCAGGCAGTATTTTCATGAGCATTGCCCTAGATGGTATGAAAAAAAATATAGGTGAACTAAAGGCTATTGTCCGATATGTTTATGAAGGAAGAAACACAGTGGGTGATACAAAGGAAAAGTTAAAAATCCAGTCCATCTTGGTCCTTGTTCAGGTCGAAGGCCTTTTTTGTGCTGCACAAACCCAGTGCAAAATATAAGAATGCTTTTATTGTTGTCAAAGGGAACATCTTACCCAGGACTGTTGAAGGAAGAAATTGAGATCAGGAAGGCCAAAGATTCCATAGCATCTGTACCAGACATCAGAGGTGAAACAATAATAGACTTTTAGGGCTACCAAATGACAGTGAAACCCGTTTTGTAAGGCCCCAGGAGCAAATTGAGAGAGGTTTTAGACAGCAGCAAGGAAATCCTCTCACAGGCATGGACTTTGTGCTGCACTAACATCTAAATCTGACATCCTTGCCCCTCTTATCCTTGTCTTTGCCTCTCCCTGAACAAGAAAATTCCAAATTACCCTTAAGGTTGGTAGTACTTCTTATGATTTTTCTGATTCAACATTTGGTAGATATGACCTCAGGACTAACTGCTATAAGAAGAACCATAGGAATAGTTTAAGCCATTTAGCTTCCTTTTTTCTTTTTCCTTTACCTGTAATTGTATCAAGGATTTTCTATACTTCTTTATCTCATGTCATAAGTGATATATATTCTTTATTGTGTAACCAACTGTGTTGTAACAAACACATTTCTTTTTTTATTTTATATAACCAGCTGCTCATGTAATGAGTGTGTGTGTGTGTGTGTGTGTGTGTTCCTGTCCAGTGGTTTTATGAGAGACATTTCTTTCCACTTGCTGTTGGAGTATGTCTCACTCTGAAATGAATAAAGCTTCAGTGACCCTGTCTCTGCCTTCATTTTTTGGTTAGTTGGCAGTGGCCAGTCACCAAATTCATCAGAAAGAAATTTATGTGACGATGTTGACAGACAGCTATATGGATGATAGGGCTCTCGTATTGAGGCAGGAGGGAATGTTCTTGGTAGAAGAATTTGATGTCCATTAGACTGGAACCACAGGCTGAAGTATATGAGAAACTCCTAGCACTAAGCCATGTTCTCTTCCTTATAACAATGGGTATGTTTCTCTCTTACCCCAACTAATTCTCACCTTTTTTTTTTTCCTTCAGACATTCCATACTCCAAGTCTGGGCGATGAGGAATTTGAGATCCCTCCTATTTCGTTGGACTCTGACCCCTCATTAGCTGTCTCTGATGTGATCGGCCACTTTGATGACCTTGGAGACCCCACCTCCTCACAGGATGGCAGCTTTTCAGCCCAGTATGGGGTCCAAACATTGGATATGCCTGTGGCCATGACTCATGGCTTGATGGAACAGGGCGGGGGGCTCCTGAGTGGGGGCTTGGCCATGGTAAGAGGCAAGGGCATTGTTAAGTTTACCCCAAACATGGGGTGAATTGAGGAAGACACAACTGCATAGGCTTGATGCTACGTGGTTGTATAATGCTTATCATCTTGGTACTTAAGCCTAGGTCTGCTCTAGTGGAAGGGAATTTGGACTGAGAAAGGAATTTATTAAGTCAACTTCATTAGCAAGTGTGTTTTACATTTTTCAAATATGAAATAGCACCCTGAAGTATAAGTGATTCAGAAAGAACCTTAAACCATTTTGACCAGCTTTGGCATAGGCCAGAAATTTGCTTCAAAACTGTTTTATTGGGAAGTGAGTGGGGAATGAGGGAGGGGGAGGAAGCAGTGTCTTGGCTCATATCTCACCTTTGGTTCAAAAATAGTGCAGTGTTTTCAGATCTTATCTGTCTTGCCTACTCTGCATGCCAGTTGCAGTTTTCAAAGTTAATGCGTCAGGCAAAAGTCAAAGGGGCTCTTTACCTTATATTTCTGATGGCAGTCTCTAGACCTTTAGGTAACTTTGTTTTCCCATATTTTCATTTCTTTGAAAACAACACTGCTCTAATTATTTGTTAATATTTATGAATAGGTCTTTTAATTCCAGAGAGGTGAACCTGTTGAAGAATTTGTACTTATAAGTAGATATCTCTGTTACCTCAGTGATTTTAAACTGCTGCTTTCACTGTTCCTCCGGTGAAAACCTGCACTGTGATAGTAAAGCCTCCTATGCATTGCAAAAGTTGGGGATTACTGTTGCAAGAAACATAGGGTTAGAGAACCATACTTGGCTTCCCATTAAGCCAGCATCATTAATCAGATTTTCCAAGGCTTTGTCAACATTACCATTGCTCTGTTTTGTTAAATCTGTAAAACCATACTTTATTCTTTTTGTTGACTATATGTATCATCATTTTTGTTTCATTGTTACTATAAATGTTAGTTGGAAATTGTTTTAAGCAGAGGTCATTTGAGTGACAGGAACTCTGACAATCAATGCCTGTCTCTGCTGTTGTGCTTGTAAACCTGACTAATGTCCAACTACAGACTTCAGTCAAAATACAGAGTGAAGATTGGTTCTTGTACAAAACGCAATCAAAATTTTTTCTCCTTATTGTTATCTTGCAGTTTAAGGTGATGACACAACTGTCAAAGGTTGTTTCCCCAGAGGGAATTAGGTTATAAAAAGGAAGAGCCAATGTGGTTACAATGACCATGTCATGAGTCTGGGAAAGAGGGTGGGACCTGGAGCATTTAGTGGCTAAATTTATTTTCATCTACCTCTCAGGACTTGGACCACTCTATAGGGACTCAGTATAGTGCCAACCCACCTGTCACAATTGACGTACCAATGACAGATGTGTCATCTGGCTTGATGGGACACAGCCAACTAACCACCATTGACCAGTCAGAGCTGAGTTCTCAGCTTGGCTTGAGTTTAGGGGGTGGCACTATCCTCCCATCTGCCCAGTCACCTGAGGATCGGCTTTCAACCACCCCTTCACCTACTAGCTCCCTTCATGAGGATGACGTTGAGGATTTCCGGCGGGTGAGACCTCCTTTGGCAGAACTGCTACTCTCATTTTATTCAAGTGCAATGTCCAAGTGTAACCCTCCTATATATATAGCCCAGTTATTTTCCTTCATTCCCGTATGGCCATCTCTTCTGTTTTCTGGATACAAAGGCCCTAATTTTGCAGTTAATATTCCCTCATTCTCCTTGTTATGTGTGCTTTGTACTTGCTTTTATTTTGAGCAGTTTTAGAAAATATCCACATGGCTAGGTAGCATCTTTCCTATTCCTGGTCCTCAAATTATGTGTTGTCTTTTTTTTTTTTTTTACTTCCTAAGGCATAACGTTTCCCTTTCCCCTTCCTTTCTGCAGCTCCCGAGTCAGAAGACAATTGTGGTAGAGTCAAGCAAAAAGCAGAAGACTCCAAAGAAAAAGAAGAAGAAAGATCCCAATGAACCCCAGAAACCAGTCTCAGCATATGCCTTGTTCTTCCGTGACACGCAGGCAGCCATCAAGGGACAGAATCCCAATGCTACTTTTGGGGAGGTTTCAAAAATTGTGGCCTCCATGTGGGACAGTCTTGGAGAAGAGCAAAAACAGGTAAGGGGATGTAAGGAGCACGGGTTATCAGTGAACAATAGAAGTTAGCAAAGTTTTCTAGTGGAAAAGAAAACTCCAAAATATTTATCTATTCCATATTCATTTCAATCATTTATTTAATGTCAACTCTGAGTTCACTATTATCCTTCACCTAAATCTTTACCAGACTTCACAACCACATATTATAATAACTGGCATTTCTGTTTTACAAAGAGCTTATTTAAGTTCTGGTTTCATCCTCATAACCCTATTGGGTTGGTAATGCACAATTGTACCATTTTACATAGGAGAACACTGATACTCAGAGATGTGAAATAACTTACTGAGGGTTGCAGAGCTAGTAAGTAGTGATTAGTGGGCCTGAGAGTTGAACCTAAAACTTCTGTGTCAAAAATCAGTTTGTATTATTGCACTTTCCACAACCATAGTTGTCCTACATATGTATTTGAAGACCAGAAAGCCTGTCTTCTAACTCTTGGTTTATCTCTAGCAGTTAAAATGCTGTATCACTGATGTAGTCAATGTCCCCTGATAATAAAATGTTGTGGATATTATCAGTGAATCCCCCTGTATGCTTCCTATCCCCTTGTATATTTCTCCTTGTTACTTTACCTATTTCTTTATCCTCAACTGTGCTTTTTAGAAATCATCCCAATAAGGAGCTTGTAGGAACTTATAAGATTGTTCCCTGCTTATGACACCTGGAGGAGAAAGCTGAAATGGATATCCCATCCCTTCAATATCCCCCAGATGGGGAAGCCTTGTGCTGAGGAGAGGCAGAGAACTTGATGGAACTGGATGTGCCAGGTGCAAGGAAGGGTAGCTTCACCAGTAGACCCACATCCTTTCTCTGCCATACTTAAAGTTCTGATCATCTCAAGTTCCAACACTTGACCTGATTGCATTCTTGCAACACTCCCAAGCCCCAAAGTCTTTTCTTTCCTACCCATTACTTTCCCTAATCCCTAGGTAGGTAGTAGAATATACTATATGTAATTACATAGTAGAGTATATAATATGTAATGAAGGCCTGTGGCTTTATGCATTACTGTTTTGCCTGGATCAGTGTAAAAACCTCTTAGCCCTATAAGCAACTAGGACAGTTACTTAGCCTTTCTTTGCTGCAGTTTCTCCTACACGTAAAATTGATATTTAATAATAATTGGAAAGTTATGTGTTTAACAATTTATCCCACTTGCTAGGTAAAACAAGTTCATTTCTCAGCTTGGACACTGATTTACTATGAATACAGAAAATGCAGTTAACCTTCTCCATCTTAGGTTCTTCAACTTGTATTAAGAAAAAAAAAGAGTGAAGCATTTTGTAAATATAAAATGCTGTGTAAATATAATGTTGTCATGACCATTTCTCCCCTTATTTCTTGTTGACTAGCATGTCTTCTTTGCTTGCAGGTATATAAAAGGAAAACTGAAGCTGCCAAGAAGGAATATCTGAAGGCTTTGGCAGCTTATAAAGCCAATCAGGTGTGTCAGGTAAGAATATTAAAGGGTGGCCATATAGTTAAAGTTAGTAAACCCCTTGGAGATACTTGACTAACTTTATTAGCTATTATCTTTTGTAAGATGTTTCCTAGCAGATATTTAAAAAAAACTAATTGTAATATGAAAAGTAGTTGAATCAATTTGTATTACTGGAAAGTGAGGAAAGGCTTTTTTTTTCTTCTATACCTAGTATTTCCCTTCTAGAGACCCATAGGAGCTTTATTTCTGCTTTAGTTCATGAGATTGTCAGAAAAGTTTTAGCTCTAATCCTGTTCAATTTCTTCTTCTAACAGTTTATTTGGAAGAAGAAATCACCTCTGATTTCTTTTATACCTTTCTTAGTAGATGCTTGTGGTAGGTAATGAGGATATGTGATTACACTTATTGGTCTTCCTCTGTCTTCCTAGACTGCTGTGGAGACAATGGAATTGGATCCAGTGACACCACAGCAGACTCCTCCCCCCTCTCCTGCTGCAACAGTTGTTGTGCCAGCCTCTCCAGCACCAGCACCAGTACCAGCATCAGCATCAACAGAGCCCCCTTCCCTGTCCTCTTCCATTGTGGTTAAATCCACCCTGTCATCCTATGTGACAAGCCAGACATCTGGTGGGACAGGGGCCCAGACCAGCATCACCAAGATCATTATATCCAAACAGACGTTGACATCTAGCCAGTTGACTTCTTCTATTGCCATGTCCCAAGGGGGCATGGTCACAGTCATCCCAGCCACAATGGTGACTTCCCAGGGGCTTCAGTTAAGCCAAATCCAGGCAGCTACCAGCACGTCTACCATTGATCAGAGCCAACAAGCCAAGATTGTTACCCGATCTGTGTTGCAGGCAGCAGCAGCTGCTGCTGCTTCTATGCAGTTGCCTCCGCCTCGACTGCAGCCCCCTCCACTGCAACAGATGCCTCAACCACCCACTCAGCAACAAGTAACCATTCTGCAGCAGCCTCCCCCACTCCAGGCCATGCAGCAGCCCCCACAGCAAAAGGTTCGTCTTAGCCTCCAACAGCCGCCTCCTCTGCAGATCAAGATTGTTCCTCCACCTACATTACATATTCAGCCTGCTTCTGTCCCACCTGCTCTGGAGAGTAGCCCTGAACAGCCGGTTACCACTAGTCCTGAGCCCCATGCAGTGGAGGCAACTTCTCCTGAGCCAATTGAGATGATCACAGATGTTGTACCTGAGGTGAGACAATGCCCTCTGTATTTCCCTTGGTAGTAGGGAGTGTACCAGATCCTTACTCAAGGAGAATGTGAACTGAATTTGAAGCTGCTATTAATTGAGTTGAAAGGTATTTTGTGCAGGGACCACAAGGGTATTGACTGTCTCTCTTCTCCAGGTGTATTATGCCAGTTTTCCATGGGAAAAGTCTCGGGGTACAGAACTCATTTTAGGAGCATAGATCTGGAGCTTGAAGGGATCTCAGAGATCATTTAGTACAACTAACTACCTCATTTTATAAATGAGGAACCCGTGGTCCAAGGTCACATAGGTAGTTAAGTGTGCATGATGTGGAATTTGAACACAAGTCCTCTTATTCAATAGCTAGTGTACTATTATAATAGCTGGTACTTCAACTGTACTAGAGGTTGAAAGGAATAGTCCTAATTTCCATCAAAATAGCTACTTAGCACAGGTGTGGCTCAGCAGCCAGTTTAGAAAGAACATCAGGAACAAATTTCATATATAACTCCCTCCTCAAGGACATGTATCTCAATGTCTGTGAACTGCCTGTTTTACTTGAAGTGATTTCCTAGTCTTCCTTTTGGTCTGATTTTTGTCAAAGTAGAGGAGTAGAGGTTATAAAACCAACCCTAAAAGGGATGGTCATATATGAATTAAGAACAAGAAAAGGAAACCACTTGGGAATTACAGTTCCTATGACATTGTGCTAATAAGAGGGAGAAATTAGGAATCCCCATTTACTATTTTGTTTACAAATTAAATTGTCACAATATTTATTGATGTTATATGAACCTTTAAATGGCAACGGTAGGACTACTTTATGCCTGAATCTTTATGCCTATAGCAAAAGCCTGTATCCAGGTGGAATTAAGTTCCTAAGGCTATCTTCCTTTTTATAGGTTGAATCTCCTTCTCAGATGGATGTTGAGCTGGTGACTGGGTCTCCTGTGACACTCTCCCCTCAGCCACGATGTGTGAGGTCAGGTTGTGAGAACCCTCCAGTTGTGAGTAAGGACTGGGACAATGAATACTGCAGCAATGAGTGTGTAGTGAAGCACTGCAGGTAAGTTTAACAGCTATTCAGGTCCTTTTCACTTCTTAGGGAAGAGATCACAAAACTTATTTGGCCTGATTCAAAACAGGGACCATCCAGAAATGAGGTTAACTTTTCAAGGTCCTGGATCTTAACCTCCATTATGTCAGGATCAGACTACTCATAGATAGTACCTACTAGGCTGACCTTAAATTCAGGTGATTTTTTCAGCATACCTTGCTGAAAATTGTCAGGAACTGCACTATTATTGATTTATTACTTAAGATGTAAAATGTTTTCAGGTCTACTTGTTTACAACTAACACATTAATATTTTAGTCACACAGGTGGTAATAAGAAAGCTGCACAGGGGGAATTTGAACACAGGTTGTCTGACTTCATAGCCACTGTTTTTTTCCACTATACCAGAGGTTGAAATATATATTCAGAACCTAAATTTCCAGCAAAATGGCTACATATTGGGCTCATACATGTGCAAGCCAGTTTAGAATGAGAATATCAGGAGCACATTTCATACACAACTATCTCTTTTTAAAGAATCTTTACTTCCTTGAAATCTTTAGCACTTTACCTTTAAATAAAAGCTTAATAGAGTAAATTCATACTAGCTTATATCAGGTAAGTAGCAGTACCAAAGATACTAGTTCTGTGTCTCAAACCTTCTTTGGCATGGCAGAATGAGGATAGTAGTCCTGAGCTCTGCTGTACCTTGATTCTCACTTTTAAGCCTATTCTCTGCATCTCTTGGGCATATTCATTGGGACTCACACTGTTGGGGAATTACTTGGAATCTTATTCCTTCATGGTAAAATTTGAGAGAATTTTGTAATGTAATTTTGGGTATTTTTTTTTCCCTTCTCTCCCCCTTTAGGGATGTATTCCTGGCCTGGGTGGCATCCAGAAATTCAAGCACAGTGGTGTTTGTGAAATAGTCCATCCCATCTCCCAAGCCAGTGAAAACTTATCAGCCTGTACGTGAAACACAAGCTGGGCTTCTGGTGATGCTCGATTCCAGTCAATAATGGCCCTCCGTGCTTCTTCCCTTTTCTTTTCTTGGATAGGGGCCAGGCTTTGGAGGAGGGCCACCATGTTTGCTGAAATCTGGGGCTGCTTTATACATTCAAGTACAAGCAGGGGGCCCAGTGATGACAGCAGAGGAGTTGGGGGAGTGAGACAGAATATGGGGATGTCGGGGTAGGGGAGTTATTTGATTCTTTTAAAGAAAAAAATTGTTGGTATAATTTTCGAAGGACTTGCCTAAAAGATAATTAAAATAATAAAGAAAATATATAGCTCTGAACCTCAGAGGAAAACAACATGTTTACATTTGTATTGATTTTCATGTCTCAAGAAGAAACATGGCTCTATGGTCTCTATACATTCATTTCTCCCCCATGTGATTTGTAAACAATATTTTAGGCATTGGCAACCTCTCCTTACCTGATTTGTTATCTCAAGTCATAAGTAAAAGTCAGATTGATGCCCTCTGCTAGTAAAAATGTAATTGTTAGAGGTCTATGAACACTAGTGTTAGACAAAGTGCTTGTCTACATGTGTTTCCAAGAGAGGAGATTCTTGTTTAAGTTAGAGGGTAAACCAGCCCTGCATATCCTAATACACTGTTCTTCGTCCTCTAAATAAGGCCAGATTAAGTAATCCAGTGGTACGTTTTCACTTCTTGCAATTCTGAAAACAAAAAAAAAGAAGAGTAGAGTAAAAACTGGTATGTGCTTTAGGGTAAGCTGTTCAGAGGTTAGTTACTAATTATGGCTGTAGCCCATACATAGAATTTGACAGTCAGTCCTATTTTATTTAAAAAGACATCCTTTCCCCAAAAGAAGTCTGTTCGGGTCCAGGGAAGTAATTATAGCAGACATCCTCATGGCTGCTTACCTATCCCAGAAAGAAGTACTTCTACATGTTCTTAGGTTTGGAGATAATGCCATCAGGATACCGTTGCTTGAACCTGGCAACCACATCTGGGTCAAGTAGGTGAATCCCATCAAGTTGGTTCCCAAGGGTGATCCTGGAAATAAGAAGCAGCAATGAAGAAGTTAGCACAACTCTGGACTTACTTTGTAATACTTTGATCTTGTGATAAAAGAACTGAAGTTGGAAGGAACCACAGAGTCTATGTCTAGACCAAGAGTTTAAAAAGTGATTGTGTAACAGACCCTTTCTGAGAATAATGCTATTAAATATTTAAAAAAAAACCAAGCTCAAAGATTAAGAACCCCTGATCTAATCCACAAGCACTTGCTTTAACTGTCACAATCAAGGGGAATATGGTCCTTTTTTTCCCTTTTTTTGCTCAAGATTCCCAGACCACTTGCTAACACAAATGTAACTTAGGTCTCATGTAGGCTGCAGGCTTAGATATGTGTACATAACTTTTGAGTGTAAAGGTTAGAAGTGCTCATTTCAGCACAAATGACATGCCAGTGTTGGTCTAGATCTCTTGTTACTATGTTGCTGCTACTAGCCATCCTTTAGAAAATGGTGATTGAAAGTAGTTTAGTACAGTAGAGTAGTTTATACTCTCGGGGTTTGGGATGCACTGAACTCCCCTCTGAGCATTAAAGGGACTACATCCTTCACAACCACAAGGGGGCAGAATAAGACTAAGGCAATTCAGTCTCAGGCACAAGAGAGAAGATTGAAGTGGAAGAAGCTATGCTAGTTTTTGGTCCATGATCTAAGGGGACTGTTATCTCAGGCTAGCTTCTGGGAGCCCTACCAGTTGGGCTGTACGTTGTGTGGTCGTCCAAATAACTCAATTTTGCGGGTCCCAGGGGACAGCCTCTCTATCATTCCATAGATTTCATCTGGTTTGTGGCTGGTAGAGCGAACCTGAAAAATAAGGGTCATAACTGCTTTTAAATTAACAATATTTCTACAGTGAAATACTGAAGAGTGCATGAGAATTCACCATAGAGAGGAAAATGCATAATGTTTTGGGGATATAAGTACTTACCTCAGCTACAATCACTTCACAATCTAGGCCCCGGTTGAAGCCTTGAGGATTTCCTTTGACACCAACCTGCCCACCACAGAGACAGAGAATGCATTATATATAATATCTGAAGCTTCTGCTACCACGCTATACCTCAACAAGAGACCAAACTATTGTTCCCTTTTCATCCTATCTAATTAGCTAGTTCCCACAGCTACATACCAAACAGTGCTCCTTCCCATGGTTAAGCCAATGGCCTGTACGCCCTGTTCGGATGATACGTTGCAACTGATTTGTTTTCACCCAGATAATCTCATCTACCCGTTCATACCTATGAGAAATAAAAGAATAAATATATTCTAGTTAGGCTTTCAAATTCTGCAAGGACAGTATTGTCAACAAAAGTGATAGGAAAAAAGGAAACTAGAAAATTCTTGGGGATAGTGATATGGAGTTACAACACTCAAGAAACAACATACTGATCACTACTCACCCCCAGAGGTTCAGACATTCTCTGCCCAGCTCCATGGCTCTAGGGAGGGAAAAAAAGGGGATTACAGGAATGGGGTGAGTCAAGGTTCAGGTAGGATGGGTTAACATTGTAAGTTTAATAGCAGAGCTAAGAAGACTACTACCCAGGATCTTACTTTTCCCACTTAGTACTTTTATGCCATAACTCTACTTTCATATCCCTAAAACTGGAATGTGCATACCTGCCTGTGACCCAGAGAAAGAGAAAGCCATCATCCTGAAGCACTGGGATGTTGAGTCTCCGCATCTCATCATCTGTTAGGGTACCATATGGCAACTCCATGTGAATATCCCAGGGTGGGTCAGCCATTACCACTGCGAACTTCCCCAAGATGCTTACATCCAAGTAGCGGATATCACAACAGATCCACTGTGTGGGAGATAAATTGGTCATCTTCCTGCCTCCAAAAGTAAAATTCATCTCCAATCCCTTACCTTTAATTATCCTTCTAGCCCATTGTAAATAACTACCCCATTCCTAACAAGTAGGACAATAACTTATTACAGCTTTGCCCTTCCTACAACTTTGGTTTTCTCCTACATAAACACTTCTGGAATTGGGCTCAGGATTTCTCTGAGTAAATAGTGATACCTGGGGTGGGAAGAGTCGATCCACACTGGAGTCAGCACCAACACCTTGTGTAAGGGCAAGTTCCTGACTAGGGGGGTGGTCCGAGCTGCCAGGGGCCTCAGCATCTATGCAGGCATCAATCTCATAATGTACATACTTGCAAGTGTCCATGTGGAAACAGGTGTTGAGGAAGGAGCAGTCACCTAATGATTCATCTGTATGTTTATTGATGATTCGCCTGTGGAAAATAAAATCAGAATTCAGAGCTGCCCAGAAGAAAGTAAACTACCTCAGCACCAGATTCTATGATACAAATTTGGTATACTGCAGATACCAAATCTTTTCTCACAAGATTTGCAAATCCAGTCCTACTTACTCTCATTAAAATTTCTTTCTCTACCACTAGTAGCTTTGGAGAAGGATGACTGCAAATAATATAAGAGGATATGATCGAAACTGTAGAAAATATCTGTTTTACTCCTCTCCAAGTTAGCTTTTTTATCACAAAGGCAGGAAGAAAACACCATCTGTGTTTAAACTAGAAAAGTTTAAAGACAATCCAGTCAGGAACAGACTTTGTACTGGTTTCTTGTCTCCCCATCCCCACCCCTGAAGTCATACTCCTTTTAAAGAAGTATACATTCAGTGGGATTTAGAAAACCCCTAATGCCTTCTTGTTCCAGGAAGAAAGATCATAAAAATGGGGCACTTTTATCTTCTAGTTCCATTTGGGATAGCAGCAAGTATTTCCTTCCAAGGGAAGACTATATCTTTGTATGGAGGCAAGACCTCTCATTCTCCTTGGAACATCTATTCCAGATGCTAAGGTAAGAGAAGAACCCCAGCGGTCCTGGAAAGGACTTGTGCCCAAAGGAAATAAATGCCTATTCCTAGGAGGCCACCCCACCCTTTTCCCTCTCAAAAGGACCTGAAATGCAACTTGCGGCAGGGCCGGTCAGCATCGCTGGCCTTCATGCACTCCTCTTTGGTGCCATAGTCACAGAACTCTTGTACCTGGGCCCGTCCTCGAGAGCGGAACTTCTCCACAATGGACTGTTCCTTGGCTGTTGTTGTATTTAGCAGTTCCAAAATCTCCTGACTCACCTATAACAAAAGAAGCCTGAAACCTAAGAGGTTCTCCACGCAGACCTTGTCAGCTTCTTCATAAGTACCTTTACATATTCTACCTGCCATTAAGGCCCTTGGGAGAAGTAAGGACAAACTGGAAAGTGTATGACTTGCTATAGAGCAGAACAAAGAATACTTATCTAAGGCCTACACAGCCCTGGCCTGTAGGATGGCATTTCGGCTCAAACTAGAACACAAAAATTATTGACTTCTTGTTTTAATCACTTAGACTGTCCTTTACCCAGAAATTAAAACAAAACAAAAAACAATCATTCCCTTTGCCCATTCTCACTCTCTAATTTATGATCCTATGATCCATTTCCCTGAATCTTCCCCATTCCTATTCTCCCACTTTTTTTTTTCTGGCTACCTGTTAACACTTATCCACATATATTCTTCACCACCTTAATTATTCTTTATTCAGGTTTTCCTACTGCCACCACTTCCATTCCTAACCTTCTTGCTCTGTTGCTCCTTGGTAGACTGCTGATTCAAGAGACTCTCAATTTCCAGGTCCACATCAGAAGCAGCATGTTTCCGTGATTTTTTGGCTGGCTCTTTGGCTGGCTCTGAGGTTGAGGAGGCCAGACCAGAGGTTGAGGAGCTGGTAAATGTAGTAGCTGTGGTGGGGTCTTGCTCCGCTCGCCGCTTCTGCCCTGTGCTGGCCCCTGTCACTTCCCCAAGGCCCTTCTTCTCTGACACAGCCCCCATCATGGCTGAGAGTTTGGAATGGTCAGCATAGGTCACCAGGGTGGGGTGCGCATCATCTTGAAGAAGGCCTCGCTTTACTTCAATCAACTCTTGTGCTGCAAACTTCTGCAGAAGGCTTTCCACCCCATCTTGTGTTGCAGGGGCATCTGGCTGGGGAGGGGCAACAAGACACTGGCTATGAGCTGAAGAAAAGGGAAAGTGGGAGATCCCAGCCCTCTGTCACATAGATGTCATTACCGTAGAGATAGCAAGGCGGATGGACACAGCATCAGTGGGTAGTGTCAGCGCCAGGTCTGAGAGGTGGTGTAATAACTTCTTCTCCAGCTCAGGGTCTGTGGCGAGCTCTGGAGTTCCTGAAGCAGTGCTGGGTTTAGGGCCACTTGAGGTGGGTGTCATGGGTACTGGACTGTCACTTCGAAAGG